ATAATACAGAACTGGAGCCAAGGGTACAGGTAGGGATTAAATAGGTGGAACAGGTAAGATCAGAGGTATAAAATGAAGAAAACCTTTCCCCTCCCCTAAGAGGCTTCCTAATGTGGAAGCTTCAGATAGAAGCAGAAATTTCTCCCACTCCATGTAAAACCAGAAGAACCTTCTATCTGCGTATCTCAAGATGTCAAGGATGCTTGGGCAAGGCTGCTACTGGGATAGCTGCCTTCATATGCCACAGGGAGGGCCCCACACCCCAGTTCCCTGGCAGCCTGGGTTCACCATAAAATGTCTCCAGCCTAAACTGGGAGGGCCATGCCCAGGTGCATTGAGAACAAGGCCCTATTCACAGGTATTTTCCTCATCTGAGACAGCCCTATGCAGGAGAAAGAGCAGGACTTGTGAGTCAGACAGAACTCGATTTGAATTTGAACTTTGCCGATCACTGGCCAAGTGAACTTGGGCAAGTCACATGAGTATTTGGAGCCCAAGTTTAGTTTGTCTGTTCTATGAATGTAATAATATTGACCTGTCAGGGTTGACATGAGGATTAAAGAGGAATCCAGGAGAGTGTCTGACATACATGGTAGTTTGCTTGCATGTTTGTATTCCTTTTTTATTATTATTTTTAAAAAATATTTTATTTATTATTTTTATTTTATGTGTATGAGTGTTATGCCTGCATGTAGGTAAGTGCACCCATGTTGTGCAATGCCCATGGAGGTCAGAAGAGACTGTCAGGATTCCCTGGAACTGGAGTTATGGACAGTTGTTAGCTGCCATGTGGGTGCTGGGATGCGAACCTGGGTCTTCTGCAAGAACAGTCAGTGTTCTTAACTGCTGAGCCATCTCTCCAGCCCCTTTACTTATTATTTTTATTCTATGTGTATACGTGTATTGCCTGCATGCAGGTAAGTGCACCCATGTTGTGCAATGCCCATGGAGGTCAGAAGAGACTGTCAGGATTCCCTGGAACTGGAGTTATGGACAGTTGTTAGCTGCCATGTGGGTGTTGGGATTTGAACCTGGGTCTTCATCAAGAACAGCCAGTGTTCTTAACTGTTGAGCCATCTCTCCAGCCCCACATGTTTGTATTCTTGATTTTCCTTGCTATCATCCTCTGTAAACCCATATATGTATACGAAAAGTTACAAGCAGTTGGTGCTTATTTAAAAGGTATATTGGGCAATTTAGTGAGGGAAGTGTGTTGTTAATTTGAGATACATTTCTTCTTTTAGAATCTTGACTTTGAAAAAATCCTAACACCCGTGGGTAACTGAACTAATGATGATAAAGTCATACATGCCCAAAGAGAGTCCTTTAGCTTCTCTAATCCTTCCTTCATATTATAGGCCATGTACCCGACCCCTCCTTTTCTCGCCTCAACCATATTCACTTTCAGCGAGACTTCCTTCCTCCTTAGATATTAATATAAATTCTCGGGAAATCTTTTCTGACCTTCACACTCGTTTTCCTGAAGTCCTGCACTTTTTCTTCATTGCCTCTTACACAAAGGTTCCTGATTCCAGTATTACTAACTCCTTGGTTATCAGGATCCCTAATAGACATGTCTCAGAAAGGCAAGAGCTGCATGTGCATTCACAGCCTGGTCCAGAGAGAATGTTTAGTGGACAGTCAGTTCCCTGGAAGAAAGAAGCCTGGGGCAATGGGACAGGCCGACAACACGAAGTAGATGTCAATGGAAAGATCCAAAACTACACATGCAATGTAGATGCAGAAGGAAAGATATGAAGAATGGAAAGATGAGGATTCACGTTCAGAATCATCAAATATCTGACTTTGGGTCCCTTAGAGAAAAAGCAATACTTACATCAGGGCCCTGTAGTCTAAAGTTATTGCAGCTGCGTACATCTCAGAAACAGTCAAATGGTGCCTCGGTGTTCTTAAACACACACATGTACACACACACACACACACAGAGCATGCACATATGTACACATTGTAAATAAAATCACTATAATAACTTGGAATCTACACCTGAACTTCAGTATCATGACATCATCTCCCCACCATGTACTCGGTAAAAAGAGTAATACATTTAAAGATACTCTCCCCTCCAAAAAACAGACTTTTATAATATTTTAGTTTATAAATTACAGTACATAGGAAAATTATTTTAGCCAGAGGTACTCTTTTGCCAACTTATGATGTCAGATGGTGTTGCAATTCTAGAGAAACTTCTATTTAAAACACAAACTTCACTCTCTATTTTTAATAACAGACTACTCAAATGTGGTAAAGTCTAAGTTATATTCATTTAGAAACAGATATTAAGAGACTTAAAGATGCTTATAATTTCAATCTAGTAATTTGAATCCTAAGGGCAAATTATAAAGGAATAATTAGTGCTATAAAACTACTATCTGCAAAGAAGCTGAAAGAACTCAAAAGTTCAAAAGAAAAGTCAAAGTGAGTGGTTATATAACATAAGTTACTGCCTGCCACAAGCAAATAATCAACAACACAGCAAAAAATTACACCGGAAAAGCTCACAGAAGTGGTAGATTATTTATACATGTAAAATTTCCTATGCCAAGTAAATAAAACTAGATCCCAAACAGGAAATGCAGAGATGCGAACAGAAACGTATATGCCCTGACACAAAATATATAAAATAAGACACACCAAAAAGACGGTGTCCCTGTCTTCACTGATGTAGCCGCTGATGTGTTACCCTTGATTTAGTAAATAATAGCCCACCTACCCACAGGAAAGAAACTCTAAACTCAGTGCGTCACACACAAAAGTAAGACATGAATGTTGGAGGGGACTTTTTGAAAAGAAGGGTTCCAACGACAGGCAGAGAGGGATAAGACAGAGGAATGTGGGGTGTGTGTGAAAATGACTAAAATTCATTATATAAATGTGTAGACCTCTCAAAAAATGTGTAAAATTCAAAATAAACAAAAAGCAGTGATTTTATTCGAGCTGAAAGAGATTAGATAAATTCTTCTGTTCTCTTCTTTCTGGATTTCCCCACAAAAGGGAATATATATATATATATATATACATATATATGTATATATATAAACACATATAGTCGCCAAACCTAATATATGGTTTTATTATTAGAGAATCATAAATTTATTAACAGGAAACTGATTTTATTCTTCTCTATTAAGCAGAATATTTATTTCTTCAGTGTTCTATCAAAAGTACAAAAACCAGGGGCTAGAGAGAGGGCTCAGCAGCTAAGAGGACTGGCCACTCTTGCAGAGGACCTAGGATCGGTTCCCAGCACCCATATGGCAGCTAACAGCTGTCCATGGCTCAGTTCCAGGGGATCTGACTCCCTCTCCTGACCTCTGTGGGCTCTGCACAACATGGGTGCACTTCCATATATGCAGGCCTTGTACTCATATGCAAAAAATAAGAAATAATAAATTTTTTTAAAGTATGAAAATCAAAACCACAGGTCAGACATGCTAGAAAATACTGCCCACTGAAGGACTGGCTGATTCTAGATAAGTCCAGTTTTCTTCTTTGTCAGCCAACAACTGTTTTCAGCTTATTGTCTTATTGTCGTGCAAATATTGATAGTTAATAGCTCTAGTTTGAGTATATTCCTAAACAACCCTGCACTGTAAGGCCTGATCATGTTTCTTAAAGCAACCAACTTCCTTAAGGATGTTTCAGTACCAAAGGCTTAAGTTGGGAGCCAGGAACTTGATCTGTTTGTATCCTTCATTCTGCCATCTGGCACAAACCATCCCTCCTTTATGGGCTCAGTGTCCCATTAATGAAACAAAAAGTTTTTGACAGATAATCATTGAGAACTCTTCAGCTGTGACTCTGATGCCTTTCCTTTCCTGTTTTAGGAACTCAGTTCCCAGCTCTTTCAAATGAAATATTAGAGCAACTGAGCTCCAAGATTGAGCAACTTTTCATTTCAGATGGTAGATGACTCTGAACAAGAAGAATTTCCCACGAACACATTCATCACCTGAAAGCTGCTCAGCTCCCAATGCCCTGGTTTATCACTCCACTCTCAGCTCTTGGCTGGGCCTCCAAACTCTGGTCCTACCTCTACTCGGGGAGCAAATGAAGGAGGCCATTTTTCAGGGGCGCTTGAAGAACATCTCATATAATGTTCCAGTTTTACTACAAACATTTTATATGCATCCTAATGTCACAGACAGAAAATCATAGCCAAGACCCCTCTACCACAGCTTCCAACATGCACTCCCAATTCCACAGACAGAAAATCAAAATTGATTATCGGGTGTTTAACAGGCTTAAACGTCCTCATTAGCAGTGCCCCATTCTCTCTCCTCCCCTCTACGTTGGACATATTACTTAAATTATGTGTGCTCAAGCTGGGTGTGTTGGCACATAGTTTTAATCTCAGCACTTGGGAAGTAGCCGCAGGCAGATCTCTATGAGATCAAGGTCAGCCTGGTCTACATACTGAGTTCCAGGCCAGCTTGGGCTACATAGGGAGACCCTGTCTCAAGAGACCAAAAGAGAGAGAGAGAGAGACAGAGACAGAGACAGAGAGAGACAGGGAGGAGGAGGAGGAGGGGGGAGAAGAGGGAAAGGGAAGGGGGACTGGAGGAGGGGGAGGGGGAGGGAGAGGGAACACATGTGTGTTCTCTCCAGGACTTCAGCCTCCTCTCCTTGCTATCTTCCTCTTCCTTCCCTTCACCCTTCATGTTGTAGTTTAGATACCACTCATGATTCAGGGCCTTCTCTGACCACTCACCCAGGCTTCACAGTACTCTGTATTTAAAGTACTATTATACTTCTATATCTGCTTTCATACCTGACCCTAAGTTTCGAGGACCACCTCTGCAAAGATCATCCAGGGCCCAGTACATGATATTAAATTAACGAAAGCACTAAAGCAAGAAGTGATGTCAAACGTGAAGATAGAACACTAATACAACCGGATCGTCTAACATGGAGAAGCGACCCTCATCAGCAAGGCAGAGAGCCACGCAGGTGGCAGCTGTGAGCAGCCTACATTGGTGTACCTTTTTGGTCTTCACCGTGGATGTGCAACAGTCCCCACCGTCGTAGTTGCAGAAGGCTCGGTTGTTGATGGCATCACAGTAATTGTCTCCCATGAATGGCTGCAGGGAGGAAATGAGTCTTTGTTATTTCCTGGCCTGAGTGTGAGCTGCTCTCAACAATCCAGGGAGGCCTTTACAGTTGTCTGGCCACCTCTCATTTTCTTATAAACCTCTATAGTAAGCTTATTTGGCCTCAAATTCCAGCACCTCCTCAGAAAAGTTATCACTTTTACCATTTATACACATTCTTACGTGCCATATATTTCCCTCCTGGCATATGGTTATGCTGACGTATTCTTGTTTGCTGCAGTTAAGAAAAAAACCAACAAAATATGTCCCGTCCTTCTTTCTGAACTAGATGGTACACTTTACTTCAAAGACTAACAAAATTTGATACCGCTTCTACTTTTCCCAATTGTAGACAATTTTTTTATTTAATGGATCATGTGTAGATCAATTAGGAAGCTGGATGCAAGGTATGTGAATTGTAAATATAAAACATAAGATTCACAAGAATTAGGGCCATGGATGTATGTATTAATGGTGGCTCCAAAACCGAGGAAAAGATGGTAGGTAGTCAAATTACCACTAATCTAATCCCTGGACAATTTTAAAGGCAAAGGCAGCAGAATGTTTGTTGACTCCATTATCCATATTTCCCCATTTCAATATTTAACACACCATATTCTATGTCTATTTAAGTTTCGACAGTGGGTGTAGGACTGTAAGCTTTTTTTTTTTTTTTTTTTTAAAAAAAAAAGCAATGTCTAGTTCATCTGTATTTCCCAATCACCCAGAAGCCTGCCTGATTAAGCATGTTAGAAGCCTCTGTACCTCCTTGATGAGAAAGAACATGTCATCATCATTTGAGACAGTCCATCCCAACACATCATCTAAGATCCACCTGTGATCATTGCTTCTTCCAACCCCGACTGACTCTAGAGAGAATCAAGTTCATAAAGAGTCTGACCTGCGGCATGACTGGCTTTTGCATCCCTGCTCCAAATTCTTGTGATCAAAGAATTTATTTCTCCAACTCATCATGCCAGATTTGCATTTTTGTGCTGGATAGCTTTAGTGTCAACTTGACACACCTGGGTTGAGGGAGCCTCAACTGGGGAATTGCCTCCGTTGGACTGGCCTGTGGCCATGTCTGTGGGGCATTTTCTCGATTGTTGAGTGATGTGGGAGGGCCCAGCCCACTGTGGGTAGAGCCACCCCTGGGCAGGTGGACCTGTGTTGGAGAAGAGAACAAGCCAGGGGCCAGGGGAGCAAGCCAGTAAGCAGTGTTCCTCCACGGCCTGTGCTCCAGCTCCTGCTCCCAGGTTCCTGCCCTGAGTTCCTACCTTGGGCTCCCTAATGAACTGTGACCTGGGAGATGTAAGACAAATAAATCCTTTCCTCCCCAAGTTGGTATTGGTCAGAGTATTTTGTCACAGCAATGAAGAACAAACTAGGACAATTTTATTACTTCCCTATTAGAAAGTAAAAGAAAGCATAATAGTAAGTGATAAGCTCGGATGTGTGTGTATGTTCACATGTGGCTGTGAGTTCGGGAATAACTTCGCAGTGAGACTACTGTGCCAAACACAAGAGGACGTTCGTATTAAGGTAGATGGGCACAAACAACAAAGCAGAAGCCCTTTCTTTTGTCCTGTGCCTTAGATATACTGAAGGGTGATATCTGAATTCTTCCTCATATAATATGTAGGCAGCATAGTTAAAGTGGCTTATTATTCCTCCCTAGAATGAATAAATCTAGATTGTAAAGGATCTGTTAGCTTCCCTGTGCGGTCTTTTTCATATGAGCCCTTTTCTGTACCCGTAGGCATCCATATATCTATACATCCATCCTCCCATCCATTTACCTGCCTACCCATCTACCCATACAAATCTTGTACTATACTAAAGAAAAAGGCCTTTAATCAAATAATCACACATTTAATTGGCCAATTTCAACTCTGATAGGAGCTATGAAGGGGGGGTACTTGGTCCTATTATAATAAAGCATTTGTTCTTGTCTCAGGTTGCTCTGTGAAAATGTCCCAGAGGAAATGACATTTCAGTAGAGATCATAATCATGAATAAGAGTTAATTAGATGGGTTGGAAGAGGGAGGATTTGGGGAGAAAAGGAATGGCTCTGCTGTGTAGAATTTTATCCCATGTTGGGCTGTTACTTGGAATACTAATGCATTCAGACAAACAACCCATCTCTCAGGATCTAGCTAAGAAATCATCTCCCACCTACCCACCCAATGCCATTTCTAGTAAACGCGGAATGAGCTGTGCTTCCACAGCCATTTGTGCTTGCTTGATTAGTCTTGGTACATCATTTTAAAATTTGATCTTTATCTTCATTAGTACTATAAGTTTCTAATGAACCAGAAGACATGTATCATCCAGGTTTATGCCATAAATTTCCTTAAAAAATATTTTGCGACTTAAACAAAACTTAATCAAATATATGCTCAATGACTATGTAGTAAAAATGGCTAAAGGAATGGTGGATGTTGGGTGGGTGGATGGATGGATGGATGGATGGATGGATGGATGGATGAGGGGCACAAGATAACACAGATAACTCTGAAAGAACATAGCTATGATTTTAACTTGCAAAAAATCATGCATACCCCAAACCTAGGATAGTGATAGGCCTATATAAGGGGCTTTGAACAAACCAGTGAATAATTGACTTAGACACTGTTTTGAGCAGAGGGAAGGGGCTCAAAATCCCTAGACCCTTTCTCTATCTTGACTTCATCTAGACACTTGAGGCTTGATAACCCATTCCTGGCCCCAGCGTGTGCTTCTTTTGAGCATCCTTTCGACCTTAGATAAGACACGGACTATTAGTTCTGAACTAAGGAGGGCAGAAGAAGATGAGGGGTACCTGCAAGGGCAAAAGAGATAACATCACTGTTAGGGCTCAGTGCCTGACAGGTGAGGGTCTCTTGGCTTCACTGCTGAGTCAAAGGAGGGATCAAATTCTGCTGTCACACTGAATGCCCAGACTGCCAGCTCAGCAGAATGAATGCCCAGGTAACTCAAGCTGCCTTTTCCAAAAACACAGAACTGATCCAGAGAGATGGGAAATAGTAACAGCTGCAAGGCCCATGGCCCTCATTTTGCCATTTCTGGCTGAAGCTTGAAACAATGGGAACTATTGAAGACCGTTTACTATCTGTCCTGAGAACATGCACATCTTCTAGAAGATGCACATCACTAGCCACGGCAGAAAGAAGTGTGTGGCCCCTACTGCTATGGGACACTGCCAGGAAATGGCTATGAGTAGGAGATGCACAATAGAGGGGAAAAGGCAGCAGTTTGGCTGTCAGATCTGGACTCATGCTTTGACTCAGTTGGCTGTGCAAACTTAGGCCAATTCGTCCCTCTCTCTCATTTTGCTGTTGTAACAGCAAGCAGGTAGAACTAGGTAACGTTAGGAACATTCTCGGTTGGGGAATTTCATCAAATTACACAGAAGATCTCTGTCTGAGCCTCATTTTTGGTGGTTGAGTTTAGATAATTTCTTCACTTAATGAGAATTTCTAGTTCTGACAGTTCCAGTTCATACCGATTTTTTGAGGACATGAACTGGGTTTCTCTATTTGTGTTTTCCTTTGTGGACTCCTGAGACCACAGAGCTTTGACATCTGCCTGAGAGTGGTTGTGAGCCTCCTTTCTGCCTACGTCTGAGAGGAATGAGAGTACACACGTGTTTCTATGCATTGGTTGGGGACATCCTATGGCATCCTCTCAGGAGATGACAAGGAAGAGACAGATTGATCAGAGAAGTGACTGGTTTTCATGGAAGCCCCTTACCTTAAGAACACAGCTGCATCCCAAGAACCTGCCTGCTGACTTCAACCCCAAGCTTGTCACTAACACACAGAACCAACTCCCCATAATTCTAAGCCCCAAGGAATGGCTTAAGTGGGAAGTCAATGACTTTGAGCGTCAGAAAGGATCTTCCACTTTGACTTAATAGATGTGTCTAAAGTGTATAGATTACTGTGGCGGATGAAAAAATAGTAAATAAATAAGATGTGGGGTGAGAAAGAATTGATCTGGAAGCAGTAGTCATCACTGAAAATGGAAATTAAAAGAAAAACGCTCTCATACAGCTCTATAAAAGCAAAATGTAATATTGCTAATAACAATCTTGGTATATTATTTAGGCTAAATCAATATGGCCTCTGTCTCTTCTTTGCCTTGTGTGTGTGTGTGTGTGTGTGTGTGTGTGTGTGTGTGTAAATGCATATGTGTATGCATGTGTGTGGAAGCCTGGGGTAGATGTCAGCTGTCTTCTTTGATTTCTGTGCACCTTATTTTTTGAGACAGTGTCTCTTACTAACCCTTGAGCTCACTGATTTAGTTAGACTGCCCAGCTGACAAGCTCTACAAGTACACCTGTCTTTACCTCCCCAGCATTGAGATTACAAGTGTCCACCACCAAGCCTGGCTTTTTATGTCAGTGCTGGATCTGAACTCATGCCCTCATGCTGGCACAGCAATCACTTTACTGACTGTACCATCTCCACAGCCACTGTCCCTTCCTTTTTCAATATAATGAGTATCATGTAGGCCACAGGCTTTAGAGAAAGAACAGCCTGGCTTGGACTTTCCATCCTGTTATGTATTAACTATATTTTTAGGAGGCTTCCTCATAACTCTCTGTCTGAATTCTATCCCCTGTATGATAGAATGAGATTTCTGATCCATGTACTCAATGCTTAGTAGGTCTAGTAAATGATAGTAATTGAAGACGTAACAATGGTAGAATTACTTTCTCACAACTGAGGCCTCTCCTTGGCACTTACCTCACAGCCTTTGACACAGTGGATCAGAGCAGGGTGAGGATACCACTGGAGACCAGCAGTGCAGACAATTCTCTGCAAAGAAATGGAAACAGAAGGGTCAGTTGGGTTTGGGATTGGGAAGGAGCCACCTCTGTTCACACTGCTTTAAATCACCCCACCTCTCTTTGGACTATGCAAGTCCTACCTCACCCTGGTATTTACATGAAGAACTTACCCAGGTGCTTGCAATAACAGGAGCACTGAGATTAAAATAATATTTGTGTTCATTGTATGTGTCATGATTCTTTATTACCTTGGCTGGAGCAAGGTTTGAGGAGAAGCAGAATTGTGGGGAATGAAACATGGGCAGAAAAGTCTTTCAGAAAACCCTTATCTGACCTTTGTCCCACTGGTATAGTTGGGGGTAAGGTGGCAGAAGGGCTCATGTATATGGACGTGTGAGTGTGTGTGTACACATTTGCATGTGTGTATGTTTGTGGTTACAGTAGAAACTTGGGAGAAAAACATGGAGCAAGATTTCTCCCAGCACAAGCTGAGGACCGCTTTTATCAGAACCCTTGTAAGAGGTGCACACAGAAGGCCCCTCCGAGGACAGTGTCCTCAGTCCTGTTTTAAATTCTAACAAATTAGAATCTCTGAGGGCAGGGACTCTACATTTGAAGAACGGGTGTGTCAGATGAAGCTGATATATGCTATAGTTGGAGAATAACTGGACTAGAGGTTGAATGAATGAGCCTCTGGTACAGAGCTTCTTCAGGAGTTCAGAGACCCTTCCTGAAGTCAGAGACCCTTCTTGAAGTCAGAGACCCTTCCTGAGACCCTTCCTGAAGTTAGAGACCCTTCCTGAGACCCTTCCTGAAGTCAGAGACCCTTCCTGAGACCCTTCCTGAAGTCAGAGACCATTCCTGATGTCATGTGTTGCCACTGCAACAAGGACCTGCTAACAGCTTCCTGAAACTGAACACACTTTTTACCTCAAAGAATTGGCTCTTCATCTTGGCATTAGTTGTCTTGTAAGCATCTTACTCCCTCCATGGTGCTTTTCCTAGTGCACTGAGGCAGAGCTCACAGGTATGCACATATATACTTATTTATAGTCTCCTTTAATACTGATAATTACATCAATGATAATGACAGCTAAAATATATTGAGTGCATTCTTGGCACTAATTACTTTATGCACTACCGTATTTATTTCTTGCTATCATGCTGTGAGGTGTGCATTCATCTTATGTCATAGTCAAATAAATTCCCCAAGCTCCATAGCTGTTAAGTGAGGAAACGAAGAATTGAAAAAAGCAATGGTTTCAGAGATGATTTAAGGCAGCTCATAACATAAAATCTAACACGACAATATTTCTTGACGTAAGTGAAAGATGAAACATAACAAAATCAAGACAATAACACTAGTATCAAAGAAATAATGAAAATCCAAGAAGCTCTCCTTTCTAATTTCCACAAAGGCCTCAATTTTCATCCTGAATTACAATTGTTCCTTTAAGAAAATGGCATATCACATGCATGGAGGTACAGTAAGAGGTAGCTGTGTCAGGGACCAGCCATGGCAATATATTATATGGTCAGGGATTGCTCTCCTGGCTGAATGCCAATTGATTAATTTTAATTAAGAAATGAACAGTCACATGGGCCAGAATGTGGGAAATGCATGTGACCAGCCCATTCTCTCCCTGAGGGCAGATATATATGGGAGCCAAAATGTAATTAGTTTCTTGGCAAGCTTCTGACAAAGGAAGTCACATGACTCCAGGCTAGGACTAGGTTGAATGACTTTCTTTTCTGTTCTAGCGCACCTTAGGTTCATGGATTAGTTCTTCCTTGCCTAGAACAGCGTCTGGCACTCAGGGAATACTCAATAAATAGTTGTTTTATGGAAGACTGAACCCATCTCAAAGTAGAGATTTTACTCAACGGAGAATTTTCCCATGTCTTCCTGTCTTCTTGGGTTTCAGAAGAGTATGAGCAATGTCAATCACAGTGTCTAGTTAGTGAAGACTGAATTCAAATAAAGAACTTGAACAAAGAGCATAATTTGCATCTACTATCTAGCCCCTTGCTATCTCTAAGACAAGGCCTTGCTATGTAGCCCAGGCTGACTCAGGTTTGAGATACTCCTGCCTCAACTTCCTGACTGTTGGCATTACAGGCATATGCCATAGCGTCAGGGCAACCACAGAATTTGAAGTAGAGAAGATGTGGCTATGATCTTAACTTCAAAATGATTTATGAAATTCCACTGTGACACTGCTTATTCCATCTATAAAATAAGTGCTGAAAATGTCAAAGGCTTGCTATGATGATACATCAAGGTTCTTTCAGTTGAGGTTTATCTGACATGAGTTCAGAAAGAGGTCTTTTATCCGCATGAGCCTATTTATCTTTCCAAGGTATGTGGACTTTCCACCACCACTCAGGGGACAAGACAAGCCCTTCAAAGTCATGTCCTAGCAACTACTGTATCCAATCAGGTCTTACCTCCATAATCTTTGCCAAAAGTCCAGTAAATTATGAATTTATCAATGAATATCTATTCACACTTCACCCGTCTCAAGACGGACCCTTCTGTGTGCTAGAAAAAGCAAGAAAGGGGACAGGCAGTGGAAGCTGAAGGGAAAGCCAGGCTGTGTGCACCATGAGTTGGGAGATCTCAAAGGTGAGCCTCATTCTTCCAGATGTCAATGAGACATCTGGCCCAGCCTTTCACACCAGGTCTTGCAATATGACTTTATTTCCTCTTTGGGGTGGAAGAATTAACCGTTTTCTCCATGGCTGCAATGATGATCATAGTGCAGAATTAGGATTAACAGTGGTAATGCCAGCAAAGCTGTGGTTGCTTGGCAGATGTTGGGGCTTTTAGAGTAGGATTGGATTATGACGGTTTTGAAATAATCAATGGAATAGTCATTGATCCATTGATAATTTACTGGATTTTTGGCAAAAACTATGGAGGTAAGACCTGACTGGATAGAGTAGTTGCTAGGACATGACTTTGAAGGGCATATCTTGTCCCCGAATCCTTTTTCTGTCTTTCTGCCTCCTGTCTACTATAAGGTGATCATCTTTGCTCCAGCATGTGTCCACACCATCATATTCTACTTTATAAGGGACCCAGAAGCAATGGAGTCCAGCTGCCCTGAACTAAAACCTCTAAAATGATAAGTCAAAATAAATTTTTGCTTCAATAATTTTTTATACTAGTGTTTTTCCAGAGTGGCAAAAGGTGACTAACACAACTACCCATCACCACTAGCAACCAGTCTTCATCCTCACAGAATCACCACCATCATCATAGTCATCATCAAGACATTAACACTTTCACTGTCAGCTGCAACAATACCAACACCATCCTCACCATTCTTTTCCTTAGCCCCAAATCCTCTCTTAAGTGAGTACGAGGCTACCATGTCCTGTGCCTACAGCATTTCACTAATGTATCATTATAACTGTAAACACACTAGTATTTTTTAAAACTTAACATTGTTTAAATCAAGTTATACAGCTGTTTGAAACAGGAAATTTTAAGACAACTCAATAGATCAGTGAATGGGAGCTACAGAGATGGCTCAGCAGTTAAGAGCACTGGTTGCTCTTGCAGAGGACCTGGGTTTGATTTCCAGCACTCAAATGACAACTAACCATCCATAACTCCAACGCCCCCTTCTGACCTCCACAGGCATTGCATGACACAGGTGCACTTACACACATGCAGGCAATACATTCGTAGACATAAAATAAAATAACGAAAAAAAAGATCAGTGAAGGATTACTATATTAGGTTAACCTCCATGAATAAAACCTAAATTGCATGATTTTTAAAAAAATTTCACTAGTTTGGCTTCAGAATGAACAGTGGTTGAAGCCCAAGCCCTCTCCTCAATGTTGAGAAGCCCTAACTATTTCCCTTCAGAGTAACAGCAAAAACAATGTAACGGAATCTTACCAGCCCAACACTGAATGTGTGTTCACATACTAGAGAATCTCTGAAAATGATGACAAATGGGCCTTGTGACAAAAAATTTGAAACATACATGACATATGAGTTTGCATATAAATACTGCTTCTCTTTGACAAGATAAAACACATTCCCTCCAGGTAGATGGCTCCTGCTTTTCAAGCTCAGCAAACTTTTATCAAGATGCTATTTTTATCAAATGTTCATGTCGTTTCAATGTGAAAATGTTTTGTAAATATACATTTACAAATTAACCACCCCCTGGGCTCTTAATTCCCAGAATGTACTCTTTTTTTTTTTTTTTAAACCTCTGGTTATATAAGAGGAAACTGAGGCACCATGAAATGAAACAATCTATCAATATTACATCTAGGCAGTGACCACAGCAATTTTATCTACCTCCATCTGATTTCAAGGTTTAGGCTTTGAACCCTTCATTTTTAAAGTCTCATAGCCTCCAAAACTATAATTATAAAGTAGAGCTCTCTTTTGACTGATGTTAAGACCAAGGTTTGGGAAGGTAGAAAGAGTCTGAGACAAATGTGGAAAGAACAGAGTGTCTCAACAATGAAGACCAGAGAACGTTGTCCCTAGGCAGAGCCAAAGACACCTGAGTAAGCATCTCACAAGGTCTTTCTCACCCCAGGTCCAGCTCTGACCTCCTAGATGTCTGCTCAGATAACTTCTCCTTTGCATGATTTTTAAAGCTTACCAGGAGTGACTCTTATCAATCAACATTATCAATTTTGCCTTTTGTTGTGAGTCACTGTGCGTTCACTTTTATCACTAGTGTTTAAAGAATAGCTGCCAGTTGGAGGCACATGATCGATTGACGTTGAAGGCTGAACGAATAAACAATCAGTTAAATGAATGACTATATGAGCATGTCCATCAGTGAATAAGAAGTCAAGAGATATGGGTACATGTTTCCATCTATGGCTTTCCCTACAGGGTACTTAGTATCTTCATCTGTACCTCAGAGACATACACTTGCTGTTGCCTCTGGTCTTTAGACCCCTGTCAAGGTTTCTCACCATGCTTCTTTCCTTCTTTTCAAGGAATGAGCTTTGTATTCTCTGTCTGCATGCACTACATAGGTTTAT